CCATATCTCCACTACAGCTTATCATCCTGCAGCGAATGGTCTGGTGGAACGTTTCCATCGACAACTGAAAAGCTCATTAATGGCACAAGCTGACTCATCTAAGTGGAGTGAACACCTACCGTTAGTTCTTCTCAGTATCCGATCAACTGTCAAAGAAGATTTGGGATGTACACCAGCTCAACTTGTGTATGGTACTACCCTCACGTTGCCTGGTCACTTAGTTCCGTCTAATGATTCAACTGAAGTAAATATCTCCGACTTCACCAACCGCCTTACCCAGCAAATGCTCCAGCTTCGACCAGTAGCCCCTCGCCAATCACTTCAGAAAGCTCAAGTTAATAAGAATCTACTCACTTGCAGATTTGTATTTGTTCGCGTCGACGCCATTAGAAAAGGTTTACAACATCCATATGAAGGTCCTTTTCTAGTACTTAAACGCACAGATAAATACTTCACGCTGAATAAACATGGTGAACCGGAGACTGTTTCTATCGACCGTCTTAAACCAGCGTACACCGACAGCGAATATGAAACACTCGCAAAGCCGGCACCAGTAAACAATCAGAAAGTCAATGCAACTTCAACTCTCCCGCTCTTCACACTTCCCCCTGTACAGACACGCAGTGGACGGCAGATCTGTAAACCTGCCCGCTATGTTCATTTTGTTGACTGACATTAAAAAAAAGTACGTAACCTCATTCAGACATACTTATTATTATTGTTGTCGACATTCATTTCATTATAACCATAAATATTTACTAGTATTATTGTTTACTGTTCGTTAACTGTGCTGCAAGCACACGCATTCACCAAGTATTTGTATATATCTATTTATATATAAATTTTGCAAATGCTAACGAACATTTCATGGTTTATTATGTACATAAATTTTTTCTTCAAAATTATAGCAAGTTTTGATATTTTTTTCTTCTAAATTCCTGCTTGCATGTGCTAAACTTTATACAACACGGATGCATTCCGTACACCCTGATCTAATTTTGTATCCTTATTGATGTTGATGTTTTTTTTGTTGCCCTTATTGTTGACATTACCCATTATTTATATTGCTTATATTCATGTAATCGTCCACGAGGACAGTACTGATGGTCCTCCGGACCTCTAAGAGGGGGAGCCCTGTGGAGTCTTCAAAAATAAACTTATCCAAATTTTACTATTATGTAAAAAATGAACATATTGTACACTACTTTGTTTTAACCAAAAACTCTGTACTTTGAACTTCCCTCGAGTTTTAAAAAAATATATAATTCTGCCTTCGACTCTCCGTCTTCTCCACCACCTCAACTGCCGTCGATCAATTATAACAACCTGCTTTCTATCTCGAATTTTCGCAGGAGCACCGTAGCCTCTTCCTACGCACTTTGGTCGACCTCCGGCAACGTCAACACTGGAGAATTAGAACTGGAGCAGTCTTCCCGCAGCACTTCTGGAATCCAGTACGTTTATAATGGAATTTGGATCTTTGTAAACTCAATTGATTTGGTATTTTGTTTTCTATTTGAGTTTTGGGCAAATAAGCTAACAGAGCGAAAGGTCCACCACAAGACTTAATTTCTTCAGTCTTTCCTCGTATGATTTGTTGCGGAGGCCGATCACCCATTTTGTCGCTCGTCTCTGGACACTTTCTAGCATGTTAGCATCCCTTTTGAGTAGCGGAGGAGCAATGATATTATGCACCTCAAGGAGTGGCCTCACGTATGTCGTATACAACGTTAGGAATAGTGCGGGAGTAAGAGCTGCCAGCTGCCTATGCATAAAGTGTAAAGTTGCGTAAGCTTTGGCGACATCCCTCGTGTAATTTCCACTGGTGTCTAGCTTTTCTGTTAAAATAAGACCTAGATCGCGTTCTGATGGCACACAACTCAAGTTCTGGCCACCAAGGGTGTAATTTACACTCTGTGACCTGCCGGAATGAAGTTGCACTACTTTGCACTTCTTTAGGTTGGAAGGCATTCCGTTAGCCAGAGCCTAGTCTCCCAGAGTTTGCAGGTCAGCCTGCAATCTGTCGGAGTCTTCCGATGAGTTTATTGCTCTCCAAATCTTTACGTCGTCAGCATAAAGAAGCGCAGGGCAGTTCAGTTGACAGGGCAGGTCGTTGATAAAAATCAAAAACATCAACGGACATAAGATAGAACCCTGAGGAACCCCTGATGCCGAGGTGTGCCAGGATGATCGGATGCGGTTGACTTTGGTGCAGAATTCTCTCTTGCCTAAGTAATCTCTCAGCCATGCAAGAAGTGCTCCAGAAACACCCGCCTTGCTTATTTTGTGAAGGAGCAGACCATGGTGAACTGTGTCGAATGCTTTCGCAAAGTCGAGAAAGATCACATGGACTGGTACCTTTACGTCCCAGGATAGTGTCCAATCGTTCCAGGCTAGTAGAAGATTCGTCACACAGGATCTTCCCCTCCTGAAACCGTGCTGTGCTTCATGGAGTAGGTTAGTCCCGTCGAAGTATTTTCTCATGAGATCGTCAATGAGACTTTCCAATATCTTCGATATCATTGTTAGTAACGCAACTGGTCTGTAACTGTTCGCGTTCTGCCGGTCACCACCCTTGAAGATAGGGGATAGGATGGCTCGTTTCCATTCACATGAAAGTTTCCCTACATCAAAGGAGTGTTGAAACAGATCACTTAGGGGTTGGCAGAGACTTTCTGAACACTGCTTCAGGACGGATGGTCTTATGTCATCGCAACCTGCAGACTTTCCCGAAGTCAACTTTCCCAATTTTACGAGTACCATAGCCGGGGTAATTTGAAATGTGCCCAGCAGGTTTTCGCACGTTGGTCTTGCATTGCAATCTTGATGTTTTGTGGGGGTAAAATCCTTGTTACTGTTCAGTTGCCTGTGAAAGGCTAGACTGAATGTCTCTGCCATTTCAAGGCTAGCAAGGGATTTCCCATCAGAACCCACTAGATTGCAAGCTCCCTGGCTGGTCGGTTTTCTTTCAGACATAAACCTGTATAGGCTTTTGGGGTTCACGAGAAGCTTATTGGCTAGGTTTCTCTGAAATGTCCTTCTATCACTCCGGACTCGTATGTTACATCGATTCCTGAGTTCAGGGTACACTTCATGTTCGGGTTGACTCTTCGGTACTCGCCACGTAAACCAGGCTTTTCGCTTCGCCTACAGAAGGCGTTGTGTCCCCCTTTTTAGCCATGAACGTTGCTTCCTAGCTTTTGGTGTGACTAAAGGAACAGTGTCTGAGACCGCCTGGTGAATGATCTCCTTTACCACTCCCCGGTGTCCTTCTGTAAGCTCTGTCCAATCTTTTGGCCAATTTGCTTCAGACAAAAGTCTTCGCATTTCGGTGTAATTGGCTTTGTTATAACATAGATAGGGCTGTGTATTGTCCCACTGTAAACGCTCGCGGAGGACTATGTCGAATGTTATGACCGCGTGGTCATTACTACCTACGGGAATCGTGATCTGAACGTTTTCCACTAGTAGCTGGTCACTCATGAGCACATAATCCAGTCTAGAAGACTTCTCATCTGGGCCCCATCTAGTATCCATCCTGACATTTTCAGTGAATCCGGCCTCCCTGATGGTATGCAGCAGATTTCGGTCAAATCTATCATGGGCATATTCCGTCATCAAGTTAAGAGATGGGGCATTGAAGTCTCCAGCTATGACAATTTGATCATAACCCATGTCTTGTGTCGCTGAAATTGTATTCAGCAGTACCTGGTTGTGGCT